ATTTTATTGATAAAAGTATGAATTCGCATAAACATCCGCAGTCTAATAATAATTGAATTGTCCATTTAATTAGAGTGTACATCTCGTGAATGATGTCGATTAAATTAATCGAATGCAGAACATGTATTCACGTGTTTTAATAAAGGAATGACGTGTATGTTGAGAAGAATAATAATCTCTGTTAATGTTTCCAATGGTCGATTGCACGGAGGATGTGACTCATTCCAATTACACAAACGCCCTACATACTAACGAGCAATATCTCGTAACATGAAACACGTCATTTGTCATTCTGTGAGACTAGGGTAGGAAATTACGAAAAAGTATAAAAACTTAATCCTACGCAGTTGTGACTATTTTGAGCGAAGCTAAAAATACACTGAAAGTATATTTAAAAGCATGAGTTTCATACGAATAGAAAAGAATAAGTAAAAGTATGATATACATTTAAGAATAATCCTTGTCCTACTGAATTTTCAAATTGTTTCAATTTATATCACCTGAAGTCAGCGTTTGTACGAACTATTAATACCATCTTGTTCCTTCTTGATGGCACGAATCAAGGTCAAACTGAGGACAGCTATAATTACCTGAGACATTTATTAATTATGTTAAATGAGATATTTTGTGTCGTGTACTAAAATTATATTATATAAAATTGTTCTTACATGGAGCATGCATAGAGCCAACGCTATACCAGTTAGCCAACCTGATCTACCCTCTAAAAACCATGAAATCTCCTCGACGCAACCATAAAAGTAAGCATTCCCTGTAACTTGGTTCCTACATTCAGTGGGCAATGGCTTCCTCAGTTTTAAATAATCCATCGGGCCATCGGCACCGCAGCAGCCAATCTATTGCCAAATCATTAAAAAAAATCAACCATCTTCAAATAAAAACGATCACAACAAACAAAAACAAATATATGAAACTCCAATAGTTGTTAACACTAGAAAGACTGAAACTTAGTATATACCTATATTGCCCAAAAACAGTCAAAATGACTG